CCCTCTAGGCAGCCATGCTGAGGCCCGATATTTTTTTCCCGTGGCCCGGTACTGGGCCCATAGTTTGGGAAACGCTGCTGTAGAGGAGATCATAAATTCTCCAAGGTCCATGCCAATCTCTCATGGAGAGAAATTCATTTCTCACCCAAAAATCTGGGAGTCAGTTTGATTGTGTTAACAAGATGTACCAGTCAGGCATCTACCACCTCAAAGCTGATCTTCCCAGTCTGGTGTCCCTTCCCCTGTCACAGCCCAGCAATTACCCCCACTACGTCACAATGAGAAAAGAACAGAGAAGAATAAATCCAGTCAGTTGTGCATCAGGAAAAAAATCCTTCCCAACTCTTGCAGATAAATGACTGAAGCCCTGAAGTATGAGATTTGATAGACCTGCAAAGATTGTGAATATATTTAAGAGCAGTTCAGGCAATCCTTTTCTCCCCATAGACCAGGAAGGAAGGGGATGAATAAGAGGATTCATAGATTTCTCAGACCTTTCAGGATACTGACATCTACTGTGCCTTCTGGGTGCTGGAAAACTCTGCCAGCACTCTTTCAAAACTCCACCAGTTTAGGTTTATCCTGAGAGTATTGCCTCTTGCACAATCAAGAAAACTGACTTGAAGGAAAGCATTTGTACTCAACAGGGTATACATATTGCAGCCAGCAACAATGCTTGCTCTCACCATGTCCTGCTACACTGCACAAGGTGGTGAAACCTTTAAACCTTAAAGTAGTAAAGAGCAACATGTGAGAATTTTATTACAGTAAAACTCCAATGGTCCGGCATCTGATGGTCTGGCACTCCTGATGGTCCGGCACCATCAGGAACCCGGAAGTGCTCCGGGCAGCCGGACCATTGGAGCTTCTCTGCCCCCCGCTTCCCCGATTCAGCCACTGCTAAAACTGACCAGCGGCTGAACTGGAGAAGCCGGGGGCAGAACAGCTGGAGTGCTGCCAGGTAGGTCCCGTAGCGCTGCCCCTTGGGGCTGCGGGATCAACCCGGCAGCACCCCAGCTGTCCCCGATTCAGCCGCTGCTGAAATTCACCAGCAGCTGACTCCAGGAAGCCCGAGGCAGAGCTGCTCTGCCCCAGCTTCCTGGAATCAGCCGCTGATCAGTTTCAGCAGCAGCTGACTTGGGTACACCTGGG